GCAGGACTTGGCCAGCAAGGTGAGTGGGCGCCGGTTGGCCTTTGGGAAGTGGGAACACCAGCACTGGTACGTGGTGAAATCCGAGGCGCAGCAAGGAAATTGCTAGAAATTGTAGCTCCGGCCCTGAGAAAAGTTACCCTTGATAAACCTCACATGCTCTGAGGTGGACCTGAGGTCTTAAGTCTTACGACCTCTTTGCAATAGGCCCAGGTATCTCCTCAAACCACCTTTTCTCCCCAGATCAGCTGTTTCTAGGGAGCACATTCTGCTAATGACGACCTGCACTTCCCTTTGCGTATCCCAGCGTGCCAATGTTTCTGCCTTTGTTCCCTAGATCACCGATGCATATAAACAGTACGATTTCGGGAAAGTGATTCGGCTGTTACAAGCCTTTTACACCAGAGAACTTTCCAACTTTTACTTTAGCATAATCAAAGACAGGTATGTACGGCTGGGCAGTCCCGTACTCAAGGGTTGCTCGTCTGTCCTGCTTGGCAAGGGCTGGGCGTCCCAGGGTGGGCAGCTGGGCGGTTACCAAGGTGGATTCTAGAGTGAAGGCTGCCTCTTCCTGGCTTTGTGATTCGGGGCGGCTGTCGCCACCTCCGTGTGGTTACGACAGTGAAAGAACACGGTCACGTGCTCGGTGCTGTGTGTGATGCAGCGCCCAGCAGTAGCTGCTCTGGATGCTTGTCTCTGGGAGTTAGTAAAGCGCAAGGGCAGGCAGCCTCGTAGGGGCCACATTCAAAGACCCCAGGTAACTTACTAGTTTGGTTGTCCCTTAACGCAGTAGCCCAGGCCCTATCACCTGGAGAAGGGAGTTGGAGATGCAGAGCTGCTGAGAGGTTTTGAGGCGGTGGGCACACTGGGAGGAGGAGAGCGCAGGGGAGGGTGTTAGGGGAAACGTGTAGGACAGAGGGTCTTACTCTTGAATTCGAAGGGTATTAGGCCCATGAATTAGCCACTGTAAGCATGAGCTGGACCCGGGACAGGTCGTGTTGGCAGCCAGTGTGGCCAGCTGCTGAGTAAGCTGTCCTGTGCAGGCTGTATTGTGAAAAAGCGAGTGACCCCAAGCGCCGCTCATGCCAGACTGCGCTGGCGGAAATTCTGGACGTCATCGTCCGCTCGTTCGCGCCCATCCTTCCTCACTTGGCTGAAGAGGTGTTCCAGCATGTGCCTTACCTGAAAGGTAAGGGCAGCGACTTGCTCCCTAAATGAGAAAGGTGATGAGGGTGTGACTGCTGATGGCAGGCCCTCACCTAAGGGCCCTGACCCCCATGAGTGATGGGGGTGGCACACCTAGTCCCTCAGCACCTGTTTGGAGGGGTCGGGGGGCTTCAGAGGGGCCTGGACGTGCTTTCTGAAATGTTAGTAGCTCAGTGACATTGAGAAATCACTTTCCCTTTAATATTTATAAAGATCAGAAACATTAAATTTTATCACAACGTGGTGGCTTTTATAAGCTTTTTTCTCTGATTGGATTAAACTTAGAGGAAAATCAGAAACTATAAATCTGACTACCCCCAAAACAACTACTGTTACTATTGGATAGTTCTCTTTGCTTCTAGGCATCTTTTTTTCTTTGAGATCTCACTATATGTTTTATCCTTTAAATTGAGCATGATCTCCAAATGTTCACATAAATAAATGTCGGGTAAACATTTAGGGTAGCTCCGTAATATTTCCTCCCATGGTTACCTTAAATAACAGTCCTTATTTCCCGTGAATAGTGAATATTTAGTGGTTAGAGCTTGGTAGGTAGTCTAGAGTAGATGCAGATTCGTGTGTGTGTTTGTTAAGAGCCCAAGAGCGTTTTCCGCACGGGGTGGATCACCACCAGCTCCGTCTGGAAGAAGCCGGGGCTGGAGGAGGCGATGGAGAGCGCGTGCGCCATGCGGGACGCCTTCCTCAGGAGCATCCCGGGCAAGAATGCAGCCGAGCACCAGGTGACCATCATCATCGAGCCTGGGCTACTTTTCGAGATCATCGAGGTAAGCAGTCATTTGTAGCTTTTGAAATGGTGTTAGGGTCACAGTTTCACTGGAAATTTGTTTAAAAATCTGTATATTGGGACAGGGAAGGTATAATAAAGTTTCACTTGAAATGCAAGCCCTCAGGGCTATTGAGATGACATGACATGTAAATCCAGGGCAGTGGCATAAGAATACACAAAAATCGGAGCTTTGTGTTAACAGTGTAGTTTTCTGAGAATTTTTGTCCACGTGGATCAGATTCAAAACAAATCCAAAACAAGATTTCCATTTTTTTCTTGAATTCTGGGAAAAAGATCATTTGTTCCAGCAGATTGTCATGTGATCTCAGAACATTCACCCTATTTTTATCTCCAAAGTTCTGTCCAGTTTTCTAAAAAATGACCATCTCATTTGGTTGGTAAGCTCAGTTTGAATTTTTTAAGTTGTACTTGATCAAGAACTGAGGCTTGAAGTAGCTAATAGATGAGATTATCAACAAGATAAGAGAATTGAGAATAGACCCACATTATATGGTTGGGAAGTTCTGACTCCTTCATTTTACAAGTGAGGAGATGGGGCTGCTGATGCTGACCCGGCCGAGGCCACACAGCCCGACTGGGTTTGTCCCTACGTGTCACGTGTCCTTTGATTCAGTAGCTCTGAGTAATAAGCTGAAAATACAGCTGGTTTGGATCATTTATATTGGAAAAAACGTGACTATATTTTCCTTGGGAATTACACTAAGTAGCTGTCAGATGAAGTCCTGGTTCTGTCAATTACTAACCACATGATTTGTTAAAACCAAATTAGTCTCTTTGAATCTCCTGTTTTCTCATGAGCTTTTTAAAAGGAGTGTCCCTTAGCTCACGGGCATTTTGAAGATCAAAATCACAATGAAAAATGTGAAGTGGGCATCGTACACCCCAGTTAGTGTCCTCGTACACCGATGGTGCAGTGTCAGGTGGTGCCAACCCCGCGCCTACGGGCAGCAGCACGATGCAGGGTGGTGCCCGAGGGGCTGAGAGCTGGGCAGCTGGACTCCTGGAGCCTGCGTCCTGTTTGATTGGACGTTTCCATTCCAACCTTTCACACTAGTAAGGACTGGCGTGTGTTAGTGGAGTAGCGCCAGGAGGCAGCGGTACAGAGGGTTCCTCACGAACACGCAGTGTCCGTCCTCAGCTTACGTGACACTGAGCTCAGCGACTCTCCCGTGCTCACTGCCAGATGCTGCAGGCGGAGGAGACGTCCAGCACCTCCCAGCTGAACGAGCTCATGATGGCTTCCCAGACCACGCTCCTCCCCCAGGACCCGCCCGCCATGCCCGCGGACGCCACCGAGCTGAGAGGGACGTTCCTCATCAACCTGGAAGGTGAGGAGGGAGGAGGGAGGACGAGCGGGACCTGGAGCACGGGCTGGCGTCCAGCGGCGCCTGTGTTCTGAGGCACCTCCCATGGGGGCTGGCAGGTTCCTCAACAGTGTCCCACCCGACGAGCTTGGGGACGCAGTGCCAGGGATGGAAGGGGGTTCCTTCTGTCCTGACACAGCGGCCGTCAGCACCCTCACTCCCGTTTGGCCTGTGTCCCCCGTCCTGTGATACCCGGAATCCGAGTGCTGCCGGCCCTGCCCACCCTTCCCGCATTGATTCTAAGATGTCCGGGGTAGACCCCAAATTACACCACCACTCAGCTGTCCAGAGGAGGGGAAGACGTTCTATGGAACCCATTCCCGAGTGAGGTCTCTGTCAGCCTCACTCCTGCTCACTGATGGACGTGGAGACGGACGTCGGCAGAGAAGGTGCAGACGTGCCGGGAAAGGGGGTGCTGCCCGTCCTTCCTCCAGGGCTCAGGTCCCGGCAGGACGCGCTGGTTTAAAGGCAGCACGGACCGCGCAGCGAGGCCTCTGCTCAGCTTGCTTCCCCCGACGCTGACGTCCGGTCTTGGTGCGACGACTAGACACTAACTTAGTTACCAGTCTGACGTCTGAGGGCCTTCATAGTGGAAGGTGTCGTGTCCTTTCATCCAGACCAGGAAAAGCGGGGACACTGCAGCTGTCTACTGTGGCTCTTTCTAAAATTCTTAAATTCACTGCCTTTCCAGCCACATACTTACCAGAAGGATCCCAGATTGGGAGCCGGAGGGCTGTCTGAGTTAGGTATGGAGCCTGGAACTGAGCTGGGGAGCAATCAGTTAACCTCCCTGGGCCTTAGCATCCTCTGTTCCCTTCAGCCGTGCGATTCTACATTCGTATGTCATGTGACAGGCTTTCCCATGGCAGGAAGGAGAAAGCTCCAAAAAGGAGCCCTCACAGAGGTGAGTGGCCCGTCAAGCACGCGTTTCCCTCCACAGGCGGTGACATCCGGGAAGAGTCCGCGTATAAAGTGATCGTCACGCCCACGACCAAAGAGAAGTGCCCTCGCTGCTGGAAGTACACGGCCGAGTCCTCAGACACGCTCTGTCCCCGCTGCGCTGACGTCGTCGGGGGGAAGTAGTGCCTCGCGCTGCCGCTGACAGCGCTCCCAGCACGACCTGGCCGGACCGCTCGGGTCCGGTGGACTGTTTACAACCCCGGGGAGAAACGCTTAGGCCACGAGTGGAGGGTGAGCGCCAGTCAGAATGCTAAGCTCTTCCCGTCACCGGATAAGACCATGTGTATACACCTGCAGGATCCCACGTGCAGACGGAGACTGGGGTATCCACGACGGACTCGCTCAGAACACGGGCACCGAGTCCGCTTACCTTCCGTGTGCTGAGCAGGGAACGTTTTATATTTTACAAATCTTCCTGCTCAGTACTCCAGTTCTCAGTCTACAAATAAAGGCATTCTGGAAAGCGAGTGGTGTTGGTGCAGAAGTTGTGCTATGCACTCAGAGTGGTTTGCAGGGCACTGCGTTCCGCCTCGCCAGCGCACGCCCACCTCTCAGAGGAGCTGGTTTGTGGGGTTGGATTGGGACGGAAACATCAATGAATCTGTTCTCCCAGACGAGGGAAAACCCTAACGGTGCGTACTTAGGTTTGTGAATGTTGAGGAAACAACATGAAAGCTGGAAGTTTATTTCACTATTATACATAAATTCACAACAACGAGCAGACAGGAAACAGCGGTATATACAGAACTGCATATACAGACTAGTACTTACAGCACATGACGCTAGGCCACCGAGGGCTCCACACACCACTCGGCACTGGTTCCACTTTCCAGGATGGCTGACTGCTCAGCCAAAGCTAACCCTTGTAAGTCCAACAGATCCACTCCGGTCAGGCTGAGGGGCTTTCCCTGCTGCTTCAGAAACATTTCTCTTAATTACAGAATCACAGACACTTCTAACTGGATGTCTGTTATATTCCTATAAGCTTAGTATTACTAATCTGAGATTTTTGTGGTTTTAAATTGCAATTAATCGTGTATTTTTTTTTTTATAAAAAGCTAGTTAAACGTAATGGTGTTTACTTTGACCTAAGATGAATTTTTATAACGAAGGTGAAATGGAGAAGAGCCTGTTGTTTCCGTTTTTTCTTTGAAAGGAAGGCAGCATTTAGAAGCCTCATGTTTGTTCCTCTTTATCTACATTCATCCTGGCTCTTGGGAGTCTACATCTAAACACACCTGTGACGTAGGTGCTGTGATCACGTGAATGCTTGTTCTTTCAGCATCACAGCGGGACTGAACACGGGCACCACGCCTGTTTAATGCCGTGGGGGCCGGGGGAGGCGTGTATCTAGGAAAACTGCTGGTTATTGGCTTCCATCAGTAACTGCGGTAAGTGCAGTAAGCCCTTTGTTTCAGAACCAGCCACTCGACGTCAAACCTCACTCCTTGACTGTGGCTCTTCCTTGCTGCAGACTGTGCAGGCAGACCTCGGCAACCCTGGGTTCAGTCCAGGCCACTGCAGTTAGGCAGTTCGTGACCGATCTACTGATGGTCTTGCCATCGGTCTGTACACTACACACTCAGTGTCTATTAAGTGCAGAGCAGACCTGCCTGCACAGAGCTCTGTCTTCCTTCTGTCAGGTTTATTTTAAAAGCCCTTGATGAAATAGTAACTTGTGTAACTGTTTTCTTAACCATACAACTCAGCACTCAACGTTAAAATTCTGGGTGTGAATCTTAGGTTACACATCTAACTAGAGACTTGATTTGTTATGGTTCTACGTGATTGCGTCCTTCCAGAATAAGCTCAAGCGGCTTTATTAGCTTAAATGCTGATTAGGTTCGTCTTCCCCCCAAAGTGATATGGAATCTTTAAAAATGCCTGTAATTCCAAGACGTTTAACCAGCTTCCAAAATGTATCACTACTTTCAGAATATGTAGAAAGCTCACAGGAAGAACCAGTCTCAGACTGATCGTAACAAGTGACTGAGCTGCCTACGCTACCAGAAACCATGAGTGCGTCTGGAGGGGCAGCAGAGACCACCTGCGTCAGGGGCCACCTGCACCGGCGCCTCCTCAGGCCCAACAGCCTGCACAGCTCTCTTCCGAGGTTGTCAATGGAGCGGGAGTTGCTAAGTTTTAGACAGGGGCGTTCCTATTTGGATGTGATCTGTAGTTCAAGAGCATTTACACTGGGATGCCCTCAGAGGGTTTCTTTATGCCCCTGAAGCACGTACTCCTCAGCCCCGTGCAGTTGCTCGAGTGGCTTCTTCCAGGGACGAGCAGCACGGACCTCTGTCCTCTATCACACTGAGCTACACGAAGAACAACAGGTACCACTGACCGCACGGTATGGCTACTTCCCAGACACACCAGTGTAAACGCTTGGTATCTGAAGGGCCCAAAGCACTTTTTAGAGTTGGGTTGGTTGGGTTTTACTCAGATTACCCGGCACGTGGACTGCGAGGCACTGAGGGTACAAGGTCAGTTGTGTTTATCCTCTCAGCCAGCCCTGAGGTAGGTTTGCTAAAGCTTTAACGTCACGACGCATTTTCTTACTGTTCCCCAGAACAGAGAACGTTACCGCGGCAGACATTTCTAAACATTTGTAAGAAAAATAAAGCTAGACTTACATTTTTAGCATCTTTGCCCCTTTTTTTAAACGTAAGTTTTACAAGATAATACATTTTTACAAGGAACTGATGTGGATACGCTTTTGAATCTTGGCAAAAAGCAAGCCTTACCTTGTGTTATTAATTTTGGTGTGTGGCTCACATCTCAGATTCTCAGTTTTGGCAAGTACAGGCAGGTCCTTTGGTACCAGAACGGTTCTAGCTAATGTCCCTTCTGATGGATACGATGACCTTGACCGTGTTACTCTTTTGCACGGTCACTGTCCTCTGGGAAAGGAACCTGTCAGCTTCCAGGACTCTGGGTGGCAGTCCCGTGAGAGATTAAGCGCGTAACAAAAGCATCTTCCTAACAGTTGTGAAAGGAGAGTGAGGGGGGCGTTTCTCTGATTTTACTGATGGGACTGTATTTACATGACCATTGGAATTTACTTAGAACAATAACATTTGCATATGAAATATAGAATCCTATAATAAGAACATAATCTGTAAACTATAACCAATTTTAAATAGCAAAATTTAACAATAAAGCTACTTAAGTGCTTGAATTAGATATAAACAGGAAACCATCTGTATGAGTAGTTAATAGTATCATTGATATTCATATTTTGCCATAATTGATACTTGTTTATATTTTACCTTCGGCATTAACCAAAGGAGTGGAACTGAGCCAGGACTGTACTTTTTAAAAGTAATATACATATTTTTAAATTCATTTTACATACAAAAGGAAAAAAAAAGAAGACTCCCTCCATCAAATCCCAGCTCTGACTATATAAAATAACCATGCACTACTTCACGTGCTAGTCACACACGTGGACGGGTCATAGAGAAGGAATGGCTATGGCTTCCACAGCTTCGATCAGGTGTAAGGCTAGACTGTACTGCCCGTGCTTCTCTGGTAAAAGCTCAATGACTTTATTCACTAGCTTAGCTGTCGTTGCAATTGGCACTTCTGTGTTTTGAAGATCCTGGGGGTCCTACAAATAGGACACAAAAATAATCTTATCAGTTACACACTTCTGAATAAAAACGCTTTTCTTCAGAGCGAAGTAAACTCATAATTAAGATTTTCTCCTGAGCTGGTATTTAAGGAGGCGGGCGGTGACCTCCCAGTGGTCTCCGTCGCGTGCACTCACCATCGCTTTCAGCCAGGTGCAGAGAGTGGGCGACAGGCGGGCCAGCAGCTCCCTGCCTTCCCTCGCCTGGGTGTGGAGAAGCGCGTGCGCCAGCCTCTGCCCCGTCAGCACCAGCAGCTGAGAGGCAAGGACCTCTTTGTCTTGAACCTGCAGGATGGCCTGCGGAGGGGAACACGGACAACCAGGGTGAGAGCTGGTTCTGACCTGTGGCCGTGTGTACAGCTGACCCTTGAACATGGGAAATAACATCCTCTACTCTGGCTTACTGTATGGAAGAGCTTAATGTGTAAGACATACAACACACAGGATGTGTTCATCAAATAGCCAGTCAACACTAGGCTATTGGCAGCTAAGTTTTGGGGAGTCAGAAGTTAGACACGGATTTTCCACCGTGTGGGGCCAGCTCCTCAACCTCCACGTTGTTCAAGCAACATATCATCCAAATCAAACTTGGCATTTACAACCCAAATTTCTGTTTTCCAATTTGGTACGACTGCGACTTGTGAGTCATTTTCAAGCTTCTGCCTGTTTTCCGGACGGCTAGGCCTGTGCAGAGAGCAGGCCTGCAAACTGGACTTTACTCAGCATTAAGCAGGGATTTTAATATTTTCATATTCTGTTCTGTTTTGTGCCCAGAAGCTCTAACACAAGGATAAGCAGAAAGCTTTATGGAGCCTTGACTGGTTCTTGACTCCAACCATCCCCTTTCTCACTTGAGCCCAGTCAGCACCCCGAGGGGCTTACCTCCTCCCCGAGGTGGTCCACTCCGTAGTTGTAGAGCTCCCCCACGTAATGCCTCCTCACCACGTCTTCGTTAACCTGAAAGTGACGGGCCAAGTCCACGGCCAGCACTGGCCACTCCAGGTCTTGCCCAGGAGGAGCGGCTGGGGCCGTGTCCGAGGCCTCCTTCTCCCTGGCGCCCGCGTGCTGAGCCTGGACAGCGGCACTGACAACCTTCAGCAAGAACTTGAAGGGAGACAGACACAGTGGCCTCCGTTAGTGTTTCCGTAAAACCCCCGTGAGAGTGGCTTTCCCATGGAAGTTGTGCACTTGTCAAGAAGCGACACAGGTAAAGGTAAACGAGCTCCCCACAGGCTGCGGAGGTGGTCAGCCGTCACAGGCCAGCTGGGGTTTGGTTTTACTACCTTTTCCCCAAGAAACAGAAACAAACCCAGCAACTGATTTACCTGTTGTCGTATAGAAATGACATTTGGATCCATTTCTCCGCTGGGTAGTAACTGAATTGAAGTTAGGTCTTTGAAAAATGCATTTTTCCCCTGAAGAGAAAGAAGAGACCAAGAAAACATGAGTATGGATTAAAAAGCATTTAAGACTATCTTGTGGTTGATGTTTTTCCTCCTCCAAGAACATTTATCTGGTAGGTGGCGCCCCAGGGACCCCTCCTCCTGGCAGTCACTCGAGGCTGGTGACTTGCTGCTAGCAAGCACCTGGGCAGCCATGCCAGCGGGTCACTTTACAAGTTAGGTTACAAAAGGGCTGTGGCCTCGGCCTGCGTGCTCCTGTCCCTCGCCTGCTCTGAGGCAAGCGAGCTGCCTGTGGGAGGAACTGAATCCTGCCTACATGTGAGCTTGGACCCCACCCCCGCCCCAGCCCTGGCCGCCTGCCTACTGCAGACTCAGAGACTCTGAGCCAGAAACACACCCAGATAGGAGAACCCAGATTCTCGGCTCACAAAAACGGTAATCACTTCTGGTCTCCAGCCACTCGGTTCTGGGATAACCTGTCATGCAATAACAGGTAACTAATACTCAGGATGTACTCTGAATCCTTTTAAAAACACCTTGCTCGAGTGCAGGTGTGTCCAAAGAGCCAAAGCAGAATCCAGGGTTCGTTCCTTGGAAGGAAACGTAACAGAGTAGAGTGGCCGCTGAACCGGAAGCCACGGGCTCTCGTCCCAGGCCCTCCCCTTCTGCCCCGGGAGTGAGATGGGAGGAGAGGACCCAGCGTGATGGTCCCGCCCACACCTGCTACCCCAGCTCCCAGGCGGCTCTGGTCCTGAGGCACTTGCCTTACTGTCGAAAAGCGACAGTGGCTTCACGGCCCTCAGAGAAAACCGCATGACCGCGTACAGGATGGAGCACAGGACGGAGTGGTGCTCCACCAGCGGGTAGTGGATGGGCTTCTGCTCCAGGGCCAGTTCCACGATGGAGATGGGCCCTTCGACCGCGAGCCACGCATCCTCCGTCTCCAGGTCAGGCGCCTGCATCTCATCCCTGCCAACATCCGCCTGCGTGTTTCAGAATGGAGAACCGTATTCAGAACTGGCGAGGGCAGAGCTGGCACATCTCTCATTTAAAGAGCCCACCGGAGCAAAGTGCAAACCTCTAGTTCTCCCCACCCCCAAATTCTAATTTTAAACCCCCCCAAATCCAATTCTAATAAGAAATAGCACTATATTTAGGCTTAAGTCAAAACTTTGAAATGAATAAATGGAAGTATTTCTGTAGTGCTTTCGTTGGTCCAGTGAGTTTCAAACTAATTAACAGCTCGGACAGTTTAGAGCGAAAATACACCTTTTACCTCCAATAAAGTCTGCAGGAGATCCAAGCAGGAGCCCAGGAACGAGGTCATCGCCGTGTCGCTCATCCCCACGTCCTGGTTTCAACAAGGAACAGACTTAGTTCCTGCAGCAAAACTGCTCCAGCTGCTCTCAGAGAAACAACACTTTCCACCCTGAACGGACGGCACCAGCACATTTCAGTCGCTTTAAGAAAGTGGCACCACGGTTCCTTTTTAGCAGCTGGTGTCCTGGGTGCACGGTTCAGACACCGTGTCATCCGCCACCACGGACGGGCACTGGTGCTCACTGTCCCAGAGTCACAGGGGCAGCCATTCGACAGCCACTTCGTACGGTCCCACCTGACAGTTCCGAGGAAACAGCCTGGCCTCAGAGCGCCTTTTAGGGACTGAACGGAACCCTCTGAACAAAACTCGAACCCTCAAGCCTGTGAAATAAATACCCCACGACGCTGTGTGCAATGATCGTT